GGAACCCCCTTGAAATCACCACCAGGGTTTCTTGTGAAATTGTTGAGGGAAGCATATTTGACTTTCTCTCACTGGTTCTAAGTTGGGGGGTCGCAAAAATTAGGGAAGTTGACAGTCACTGGCCAAATCCTGACCATTCTGGGCCGACTGCTGCAGAGGTTGTGCTTTGCTTCCTGGACTGGGAGAAATGGAGCCAATACTTCCTCACCGCCAAGAGATGGATTATGGGAACAGACAAGGACCAGAGCATCTGTGGCAACAGAACTCTGGTTAAAATGCCAGGAAGCCAAAACACAGCCCCTGTTTAAACCAAAAAACATAACTGAGCATGAATTGAAAATTCAAGGAGTATAAAGACAAATGACATAGTGCCTAAGGCACTTGACTGCTAACCAGAAGGCTGGCAGTTCAAACCCACCAGCCACTCCTCGGAAGGAAGGTTGGGCAATCTACTGCCCTAGAGATACCACCTCAGAAACCCAAGGAGGAGTCACTATGAGTCGAATCGACTCGACAGCAGTGAGTTTGGTTTTTTGGTATAAAGACAAATGGCCAGTGTTTCATTCTGATGCACACAGGGTTGCTATGAATCAAAACCAACTCAGTGACACCTAACAGCATCAACAAAGACAAAACACTAGTGTTTCATTTCTTCTACCTAAGTCTGCTTTCAACCAGAGCAGTCCTGGATGACAAATACAAACATATGAAGATCCTTACTATGCTTGTCTCATGTATGTGTGTGTTCATGCACACACACCCAGACACCTCTACACGCATACAGTTGTTCCGCTCTGCATATGCATGCAGAATGCACAATTTGACAGTACCCAGAGCAGTTCACAGAGCATTATTGAATGTGTTTATTGGTGCAAGGGAGTAAGTAGCCAGAGCTGAGGAGGCAGAAAGGGCAGGTATTTCCATTTGGAAGTGCAGTGAGATTGAACACCAAGCACCCACAACCACCCCCACCATCCCAGACAGGTGGAACATCCCGTCACAGCCATGGTGGCCCTCTGGTTTCTGGCCTCTCCCATTTGTCTTTAGGATGGGTGAGCCCAAGCAAGCATGGCCATCGGACTGGGGCCTCATTGACTCAAGGTTGTGCCTGGGCAGTGGCAGGGAATCACATGTCCTCGTCCCTGAAGAGCGTCAGGTTGTGCTTCTGGATATGTCCCAGCAGGGCCTGTCCTCGCTTCTCCAGGGTCTGGAGAACCTGCTTTAGGCCCTGGGCCCCACCTTGGCTTTCCCAAAACACCGGGTCCATCTGCAGTGATTTGAGCAGCATATTCTGTAGACAACCTGATGCAAGGACCTTCACCGCAGACTCAGGAAACCTGGAGGAAAGGCCCCGTGCCCCAGAAACAGGGAAAAGCAAAAGGAGTCTCAACTTCAGAAAAAGGCAAAGCCGATGGCCTGGACTTTCACAGCTGGGAACCCTGGCAAAGTCACCTTCAACGTTCCCCCCCAGGCTGTCTGGTTAGCAGATATCCTTTGGCCTACTCTGCTGTGGAAGCAGAGGGCAGAGTTTCAGAATGGTCCCACTCCTCAGAGAAGCCGAGGGAGTCAACTGCCCAGATGCAATGCCCGCTTACTACATGGCAAACGCAGGGCCAGCGGGAGCCCCAGAAAGCCCCAGCTGCCTGCCAGGAGTGAGCAGGGAAGGGCAGGATCCCAGACTAGCTCTCCCACCCAGGGCAAGAGAAGGACTAGCCTTCTCATACCACACCTTGTACAAGGCCAGGAGGCCCTCTGTACATTGTGGAGGCTGGGACACTCCGTCTGGAGGTTCGCAGGGCCTGGCGGCTGCATCCCCCTCCTAAAACTCAGCTCTGACAGCTTCCATCTGATGGACTGTGAACCTCTCAGGAGCCATGGTTCAAGGCCCTACAGCCTGCAGCAAGCCCATTATCCTCAGTTCATGGCATAATGAACTCTACCCAACCCTTGGTTCTGTGCCTTTGAACCTCACCCATCTATGCCCTCCAGCAGCCGAAAGTTCAGCTTGTCCTCCGGGTGCTGAAGGTTTCCAGCATTATCGATGTAGACTAGCTGAGACGGATCACTGCTCCGGACCTCAGGGAAAGAAGATGAACAAGACAAGGCGGGTAAAGCAGAGTCAGTGCTTAAGGATTCCAGGAGGGCTGAGTGTTTTGGGGACCCTGAGCTGTCAGACCCTCAATCCATCCTGCTACACCCTGCAACGTCCACACTTACTGTATGCCAGGCACTATGCAAAGTGCTTCCAGACATCTTTTCAATGAATCCTCCCAGCATCCTTAAGAGGTGGCACTAGTATTACTCCATTTTCTAGGAATGGAGGCACAAGATCACCCAGCTAATAAGTAGCTGGGCTGGTTTCAAACCTGAACACATAGCTCTAAGCCACAGCACCATCCTGCTAAGCTGCAGTTCAGAGGGAGGGATTGATTCCTGAGTTGGTTACTACAGACAAGAGAGTCACCTCTCAGTTTCCCACACCAGGTGGCTGAAGAGGCTGCAAGTGCAGAGTAATGTACTCATCAGGGCCATCTGGGTTCATGGTATATCACACATGCACATACTTACACACACACATGCTCACATGTGCACACCCACACACATATGCTCAGTCACACACATGCTCACACACACACATGCTCACACACACGTTCACACACATGCGCCTATACTCACATGCACACACACAGACACATGCACACTCTTACACATACACACACACACACTCACCCCCGGGTGCCCCTTGTGCCTGCACACCCGGGCATTCCCCCGAGCATCTAACACACCAATGTCCTTTATCCTCTGGCAGCACCGACTATACCGTTTCTACAGGTGGAGAAGAAGCTCTGGTAGCATAGTGCCTAATGCTCACCAGAGGCTGGTGGTTCAAACCCACCAGCCACTCCTCGGAAGGAAGGTTGGGCTTGGAAACCCAAGGAGGGGTCGCTATGAGTCGGGGCTGACTCAACGGCAAACAACAACAACAACAGGAGGAGAGTTTGGCTTCTGCTAAACCTTTTCAAAACTAACATCAGCAATGGAGAATTCTTTCATGACCTTAAAAGGATAAGAAGTGTGGCTGAACAACTGAGACCTTCTCTTTCAGCCCCAATTCCATGTGCTCGCTCATCATTCCCACCTATTAGCCACAATTCCATGGTAATTTCTCATAATCTTCTCCAGTGGCCTAGGTTTAAATTATGAGATTGTCTCCAGGACCCCAGATTCCCCTCTCTCTGCCTCTTCTCTTTCCTCAATTCCCTCCATACATCAGAGATCACATTTTTGTTTTCAAAGCCTGGTAACTGTTTCCTCTGAAAACTGCTGTCCTGAAGGATCTGTTAAATGGCTGCCCGGCAGGGGGTAAGTGTCCACTGTACTCACCTCTCCCAGGGATATTTTCCTTTCATTAGGGAAAAGCCATGAAGATGATGGAGTCTTCCCACCCAGTGGCTCCACATGGCAGCCCTGGCCTCTACGGTGAGTGTGGCCCCCCGGAAGCTCAGCCCTGGCACATGCTGACAGCCACCCTTCAAAAGCGGCCGGCCAAGTGAGGCTGCAGGTCACTAGGCCTTACTGAGGAGTAAGGTGTCAAAGGCCTTCCCAGGAGTAGCACCTCGCTGTTTATACAGAAGAGCCTATTTGGCCACACCGGCCCTTCTCTGACAGCCTTGGCACTTTGCTTCCCACCCTGCTCTCTAGTTCTAACAGGAGGCAGAGTTACTGAGTTTCTCTAATCAGCACTGGCCTGGGAGCCATCAGGGACTTGGGTTGGAACCCTGTTGCTGCCACCAACCAGCCACCTGGCCTTGGGAACTCCCCCTACCCCCCAGACCACAAATTCCTAGATAAACAGTTCTCAAACTTTGATTCCTGGAGCCCTAGGGGTTCCCTGGAATCTCTTGGGGCCACAGGCAGTGTGGAGATAGTAAAAACTGGGCTCCAGGCCCCCATCCTTGGTCTCACCTCTACTGCATTCTCAAAGCTCCGCTTTTGTCAGTTTCGTAAAGTGGAAACATTTACTCAAAGAGAGGGCTCCACTGCCAAGAAGAACAGGATTGGGAAATCACAGCCCCCGATGATCTCTGGAACTCAGTAACCGAAGCTTCTGAAGGAGACAGGAAGCCCTGGCCTGGGCTCACAAGGGCCTCGAGGAGGAATCGTACCAGGATGTGGACCAGTCGCAGCTCGGCAGGGTTCCGGCACTTCTCCCGGAGCCTCTCCTCCACGCAGGGGTCTGAGGGCTCAGGCTCAAAGCCGCAGCAGTAGCGATCCAGGCGGTCATGGACCTGTGGGGACACCCAGCCTCTGAAGGGGTATGGCAGGGTGCCTGCCTCCACCAAGCCCTGTGCCAGGACTGCCTGACCTGCTGTTCCACACACCATCAGAGCCACACTTCCACCCACTTGGGGGGACTTAGGGGCTGGGACGGTCCTTAGTGGCTCTGTGCCGGTCAGCACTCTTGCTGGCCTCTAGCTAGTAATGAGCTCTGCTTTGCTCCTCTGGCCAGCCCTCCCTGCACACCAGCAGCTGCCCTCTCAGACCAGCATGGATCTCTGACCAGTGCCCGCTGCCTGGGTGTAATCTATGCTACTGCTGCTGAGCCCTGGCCTGGGGCTCCTGGGCCTCCAGATGCCAACCACTTGTCTCTCTGCCTGGGTACATCCGCACAGGACTCTACTTTTTCTATAGGAGCAAACGCTGTATCAGGTATTCCTCCCTTCAGAAATAAGAAGCCCCTTTACAATTGTCTAGAGCTCTGGTAGCATAGTGCCTAAGGGACTTGACTGCTAACCAGAAGGCTGGCGGTGCAAACCCACCAGCCACTCCTCGGAAGGAAGGTTGGCCAATCTACTTCCGTAGTGATACTGCCTCAGAAACCCAAGGAGGGGTTGCTATGAGTCGGGGCCGACTCGATGGCACATAACAACAACAACAACAGACAGTTCTTGGATGGACAGCTCTTTCACCCTGCAGTGGGCCTGAAAATCAGGAACAGCATCAGGAAAAGAGGAGCACATGCCAGTTACAGCCTCCTTATACTCTTATTGGAGGACCTGAAGAAGAATTCTCAGGTGTAAGGAGTCCATTCTGAGGCGTGTGCCACCCTTCCCCCCAATGCTGAGTTCACACACACGATGTTTTAAAATGGATCAAAGGATTCCTATAATAACACTTCCAGAGTCCCTGGTGGAGGGCTGCGGTGGTTATGTGCTCAGGTGCTAATAACCAAAAGGTTGGAGGTTCATGTTTTCTCAGACGTGCCTGGGAAGAAAGTCCTAGTGATCTACTTCCCAAAAACCAGCCACAGAAAACCCTGTGGACGAGAGGGAGAAAGAAGTTGGACCATGGTCGCAGGGGGCATCAAGCTCAACTGGTAATAATGTACTACATAGAAACATTGTTCCATATCCTACTTTGGCAAGTACCAACTGGGATCTTAAAAGCTTGCAAGTGACCATCTAGATGCAACAATGGGTCTCTCTTTGTCCACAGCAAAGAAGAATGAAGAAAACCAAAGACATGTGGTAACAATTAGTTCAAGGGACTGGCATACTATGTGATCCTCAACCTATACAACTGTGAGACCAGAAGAACTAGACAGTGTCTGGCTACCACTGTCAACCACTTGGAGGGGGATTTCTGTAGGGGATCATGGATACAGTGGGAGAAAAATATGGAACAAAACTCAAAATCATTTAAAAAAGAAAAAAAAAAGCAACCAGGTTTGCTGGTCTGATAAAGCCTGGTGGAACCCCTGAGACTATGGCCCCTAGCTGCCCTTCAGGAATCGAACCCACTCCTGTGATGTCCAGCCAAACAAAAGACAGGCATATGAGCTGAACATTTACCTGAGGTAGATACACTCCTTGCAGAGAACAATCATGGGAGAAAGAAGGGCTGTTTAAGCACAGGGAGACAGCTCATGGGGCAGGAGTCCATGGAAGGATGGACACAGGGAAGAGGTAACTATCAGGAGGAAGTGGGAAGGGAGCTGTTGCATTGTGGGAAATTGCAGTCAATGTCATGAGACAAAGTGTATGTGAGCTTCTGTATGGAAAGTGAATTTGCTCTGTAAACTTTCACCCAAATCACAATAAAAATTTTTTAAAAAAGAAAGAAACCCCTGTGGAACACAATTCTACTCTGACACCCATGGGGCCACCATGAGTCAGAATCAACTGGACAACAACTGGTTTGGTTATAAGGACAATTAAGGTCATCTACAGCATGAAGGCTCAAGGCAGAGCAGGCTGTGCAGAGTCAGCAACTCATACAGGTTTCTTTCTGCTCTCCACTTCACCACCCACAATGCTGACAACATCCCAGTGTGGTCTCAAGGAGCCTACAAGTGACCACTTTCCTTGTTCATGTCCAGTAGGAGAGAAAGAGGAGGAGAGGACAAAAAAGAGAGGAACAGAGAGACAGGAAAACAGAGAGAGGGAACCTCTTTGCCAACCACAGAAGTCTGCAACTTCAGCCTCACTGAACCAAATCAGGACACAGGCTCATCCCTGGACAAATAGAGGCCTCTGGTAGATGGTGATGCACATTGATCACCTGAAGTTAGGAGCCCTGGACCTGTAACCTCTGAAGTCAGGAATGGGTGGAAGTTGAATCAAATCAGGGCTCTCCTAGGAAGGAACCAGGCAACCTGCTGAATCTACTCCAGCCCCCATGTCCTCGTTCAAGCTACTGATAAAGACGTCAACCAGGACAGCTGGGGACAGAGCCCTGCAGCATGCTACTGGAGCCCTCAGTCATTCAGTTGGTTTTAAGTCCACCTAAAGCTAGTATTGGGAGCTCTGGTGGCATAGTACCTAAGGCATTTGACTGCTAACCAGAAGGCTGGTGGTTAAAACCCACCAGCCACACCTTGGAAGGAAAATTGGGCAATCTACTTCTGTAGTGGTATTGCCTTGGAAACCAAAGGAAGGGTTGCTATGAGTTGGACCCGACTCCATGGCAGTGAGTTTGGCTTGGTTTAAAGCTAGTATCAAAGGAGCTCTGGTGGTGTAGTGCCTAAGGCATTTGACTACTAACCAGAAGGTTGGCAGTTCAAACCTACCAGCCACTCTGCAGAAGGAAGACTGCAATCTACTTCCATAAAGATTAACCACCTCGGAAACCCAAAGAGGGTTGCTATGAGTCAGAATCAACTTGAAGGCAGTGAGTTTGGTTTAAAAGCTAGTGTCAAGGACCCCTGGTGGTGCAGTGGTTAAAGTGCTTGGCTGCTAACCAAAAGGTTGAGTTTGAACCAGCTGCTCTGCAGGAGAAAGATGAGGCAGTCTGCTTCCATAAGGATTCCTAAAAAAAACCCCAAACTCACTGCCGTCAAGTTGGATCTGACTCATAGCAACCCCTCCTTGGGTTTCCAAGATGGTATCACTACCGAAGTAGATTGCCCAACCTTCTTTCCAAGGAGTGGCTGATGGGTTTGAACCTCCAGCCTTCTGGTTGGCAGTCAAATGCCTTAGGCACTATGCCACCAAGAGCTCCTTGGAAACCCTATGGGGCAATTCCACTCTCCGCTACAGGGACACTGTGAGTTGGAATCAACTTGACTGCAACTGGTTTTGGTTTGATAAAGCTAGTACCACATCACCCATAGTTCGTCATACTGTCGTCCAAGCTCAGCAGGGTCATCCAGCTCCAGGCTTTCCACAGTGGTTTAGTGCAGAGGTCAGCAAACATTTTCTATAGATGCTCAGCCCAGATGGTAAGTATTTTACGCTTCATAACCTGTAAGGTCTCTGTTTGCTTAGCTTTGTCGCCATACCGTGTATGACGTGAATACATTATAGACAATATGGAAACAAATGGGTGTGGCTGTGTTCCAATGAAACTTTATTTATGCACACTGAAATTTAAATTTCACAAAATTTCATATGTCACAAAATATTTTTCTTTCCAACCATAACAAGAATGCAAAAATCATTCTCAGCTCATGGGCCAAGCAAAAAACAAGTAGAGGGGAGGATTTGGCCTGCACTGTGGGCCATGGTTTGGTTTACTGACCCCTGGTTTGGAGCCCAGACAGATCTGGGAATAAGTCCTGGTCCCACTCTGTCTTATAGGTGTGGCCTGAGGGACATATTTCACCCCACTAAACCTCTGGTTTCTTATCCACAAAACTGGGCAATGACATCCCTGTGGGGCTGCTCTGAGGACCACACAGGATGGCGATCTATGAAGCAGGGAAGGGGCTGTCATGGAGTTGTCTCTGGCCCTGACAGACAGAAGCAAAGATTGATCTTAGGGATTCCCTCCTAGGAAGCCTTGGCCCTGTTCCAGCTTACCCCATGGCTAATGGCCTGGACAAAGGTCTGACATAAAGTGTTTTGATGGTCGAGACTCTCTTCTATATGCAGGCCTACTTTCTGGAGCACAGACATAATTGTGAGACACAAACTTACCTGTTGTGTTTTCTTTGGGAGAGTAAATGCCAGGGCCATTCTGAAACCAGTCTGACCATGACTCATGGTGACCCCATATGTGTTAAAGTACAACTGTGCTTTATAGAGTTTTCAAGGCTGATTTTCCAGAAGTAGATCACAGACCTTTCTTCTTTCACTTTTTCTGGGTGGACTCAAACCTACAACCTTTTAGTTAGCAGTCAAGCACATTAACCATTTGCCCCACCCAGGGACTCCGGGGCAGATCTAGCAAGGTGAAATGTTTGCTTTATGTCAGATGCACAGCCAGCATGACCACCATCCTCCACCAAACCCTCCCTGACACTGTCTCCAGGCTGCTTGTACAGAAGATTCCACCTTGGAGCAGCATTTCTTTCTAGAGGAAGGTAAAAGGAGTGTTGGCCCACAGGATTCGTGCAGTGCTAGCTTCCCAAAACCTCCACCCATCTGGATGTTTATCAGGATGGGCCTGGCCGGGTGCAGTTGCTAGTTTGATCATTTTGCCACGCTGTCCAGTTATTTTTTTTTTTCCACTGAAGAGAAATGCAGTTGAAACCACAGCATGCTAGCAGCCAAACAGGATCAAGCTTAAGTTCATTCCCATATCCTTTCAGAATTTGATTCTTTTTCCCCTTTTTGGAAAAATGAGAAGCTGCTGAGAAAAAAAAAAAAAAAAAAAGGCAATCCTTTGCAGTTTTGCTTCTCTGATCCAATCTAGCAATACTGCATAATCACGACACTGAAATGAGGTTTTTGCTTATTTTAAAATTAAAGTTGTAAAGCCCTTATTCTGTACCAGGCACCACTTGGAGTGTTTTACATGTTAAAAGTCATTTTACTCCCCCAACAGCCAATAGCTAGATGCCATGATT